TTGCAGCGAACTTACCTCGTTGGGCACAAGTGCGAGGAATGCTTTTCGTAACGCCTCCAACCCCTATCCAAACCAATGTCTATTTTCCATCGTCCGGCCACTTTTTCCCCAAAAAATATGCGTTTTTTTCTGGTTAGTTTTTAACTGGAAAAAGCTTTAAATACTTGAAATAAAAGCTGTTGAGGGCGGGGTGGGGGGGGGGGGGGGGGAGGGGATTGACGTTATCTTTTGTCCTGAGTGTTGCAGCCCTTTTGTCACATATATTTTTGAGTTACTTTAATTAATGCATTAGTACATTAATACATTATTAGAAATTATGAATATTCACAGAATGCGGAAAATTCATTTTTGTAGAACCTCTATGCACGTATTGATTAGCCATAACAGGCATACTGTCATATCGGAGGCTCTTAGTGAGAAGCAATCTTTTTTTCAAATGCACTTTTATCATTCCATCTTTGTTTGGTAGCCTGTTTAGTGGCCAACTTTATGAAATTAATACTGTTCATATTCTATGAGGTGGAAGTGAAAAGATTTGTAGTTTAACTATAACGTGGACGTAGTTAAATAGAGGGGGCTACGTAACAAATGATTGGCCGACTGTCGCAGAAGTTCAAGAACCGATTATTCTCTACATGATGGATGAACTTACGAATATGCCCAGAGCCACCGAAAATGGTGGTAAAGTAAAAATTGAAATCTCTCATGGCTTTTACATTGATTTTGATGTTATTCGTACATTTATTGTCATACTCAAACGTTGAATTACGCTAGGGGAAAATAGTTGAGACTACTTCACCTAACAGTAAATCACTGTCATTAAGGTCAAACGAGTAACATCTTATCTTTATTTGTAGGTTCTAGAGATGAGGTTTTAAGTATTGTCTTGCAACTTGCTAGCATTGCGCAGTTACATATATTTACTAAATGATGGTCTCTACGCCTAATTACGTATAAGAATTGAACAACACCCCCTACCCTTTCCACTATTTAGGTGGTTTGTTCAACACCTGATATTCCAAATGGCCTCTCTGTTGGTAGCGCGGTTAGCATAGGTGGCGAGATAGTTCTACGTCCCATCAACGGTGAAGAGTTTGCAACCGAGCTCCGAGCCGACCATATAGACCTACTCAGTCCTCCCGAAGTTGATAAAAAAGAAGAAAATGATGTCATAATTGGTGCATTGTCCCGATCTCGACCTCGTCTGGGTCTGCTACGGTCGGAGAAGGGTCTCTACTGGCGTCACAGACTTCCTGAAATGGCCGCTATGTTGCGTCTTCGAGCAGCATGCAAATCGATTGTACATCGAGCGATGCAAGACCGTGGATATCTGGAGGTAATTTTTTTTTCACACAACTGTTATTATCCCTGTGTGGATAAAAGTACACATTTATTTCACTGCTGAAATTGCTGGAGCCTAATAGGGAATTAAAGGAAGGATTGTAAAAGCTGTTGACGGTGAGGTCAGAGTATCAAAATGTGTTACCCCCTTTTTTTCTTCTTGTATATACTTGAGGCTCAATATGTTTTCCTGGGGGGGGGGGGTATTTAAAATTCAAAGTCTAAAATTTGTCCTTTGGACTAGTAAGGGAATTCTCGGCCACAATATCCGCTGTTCATTGGCTGGTTGTTTAATGACGACTATCGGTCTTGCCACTTTCTTCCATGGGGTTAGAAAGGTAAATGATCTTATATGAGGGCTAATAATTTTAATTGGCCATTTTATTGCATTTTTGCTACTCAAGTGTAACGAAGTGCATATATTACATTCAATTTAAAATCGCGAACAACGCTCGGGTTATCTTGAGTGGTACGCGTATTGCTATTGTATTGAGGTATGCTCTCGGGAGGTAATAAGAGCTGAATTTTTGCCCAGTGCTTGTCAATCTTTTACTCTGGTAGTGTAAAGATGCGTCGGATACAGGTAATGTGTTAAGGAGAAATGTTCCCTCTAGCCACTCTTATTTTCTTTCTGTTGCAGAAGGTCTAATTTCATTTGTTTAGCCTCCTAATGTAAGGCATTTCAAGGATATAAAGACCACATCTTTCATTGAATCTGAACTCTTTACCTAAATGCTGCAAGGCTGAGCTGGACGGAAGTTGCGGAATAAATAATTATTTACTATTAGTGTCTCAGAGACACCTCTCTCCCCCCCCCCCCTATGTATCTATTTATACTTATTATACTCGTTATTATTTTTATGCATTTTTTTTTCTTTTTTTTGTTGCTAAAAGAGCCCTAAGAATTTGGTGGATCTCATGTTTCAGCCTACGAGGGGCTCAGTTGTGGGAATGGAGGATTGTAATCCATGTTAGCATTCACATATTCCATGGTGAATTTATTACTCCCTTGCCAACGTATCGGCCATATTTAGACAAGCAATTCAACATACTTCCAGTACAATAGTACCTGGAATGTTCTAATGCCTGCCCTACTTCATGTGGTTCGAATACTCGTGCACTTGGCTTCCACTCTTTTCAAAGGGAATACGACAGCAGGAGGTTCCTTTAATTTTGACCTCGATTATTGTCTAATAGAGTTGCTTGCTATCATGCATTTTTTTGAGATTTCCTGAATCCTTTCCAACATTGTCTCACCTCTATGAGCCTGCTCATAAGAAAAAAAATGGCCAGCTTTTCAATTAAATTGTTATCATTAATTTTAGTTCACTTGATTAATCATTTGGATTTTATTTTCTATTGTCGAGGGATGCATTTTGTGTTTGGAATTCGCTTAGGTATTATTGGGGTGCAACTTTACTTTCTCTTTGAGCACATTTAGCCGCAATAAATTGGCTGGATTTTGATTTCATTTTATATTGTTTGCTCCAACTTTTTATCGTATTTAAAAAAATGTAAAGGGTGTGTTTTAGCATATTTAATTCTCAGTTGCAGTCAGTCTCTTTTTTCCCATTTATTTTTAAAGAAAAATGCACTGCTATAAATCATTCTTCATATTCATTTTACTGATTTCTTCACTTTTACCTCCCCCCCCACCCCACCTCACCCTACTCCAGCCATTCTCATGCTGCAACCAATTTAATTATCTATTTACCTTTTGTTTGTGTCTTCCAAGAACCATATGACATGGATTCTACACGCTCAAATATACCATTCTTTGAATAAAACACTATTCGCGTTTCATCGATATTATTGGTTTCAACACTCCAGGCGCCTTGAAAATGCGTAATAAAATTGTGATTTACAGGTTGTAATTTGAGGCACTTGTGAGATAGTCGCTTTATTCATTCCAAACTTCCTGCGATTTGGCAAGCTACTTAACATAATTGGGTTCAGCTCTTGAAGAATTTGTGATCATTTATTTATATCAAATGGCAAGCTTTATGATAGTTATGATATTTAGACTTTTAGTTGACTTCAGGCTTCACAGAGGGAAAGGAACATCAAAGTGGGAAAAATTCGAGAGGGGAGCAGAAGAGAGATTCAAAGATGTAAAAGAGACAGACAGACACAGCAGAAGAGAGATTCAAAGATGTAAAAGAGACAGACACAAATGTATATGGAAGGTGAGGTGAGTACTGTGAAAGTGGTCGAATGTGACATACAGTGGGGTCATGATAGCTTGAACTCAGAAGTTAACAACCGTATTACAGACTTTTTTGCCGCATGAGTATACGTTGCTCAGGGTGTACCACGTGGAGGTTAGTCTATCGCACACCCCGAATTTGTGATCATCGATGCCATAACCTTGAATTCTAAGCGTTTGGCAGGTATTGGCTGTTCAACCCATGTCCTTACATTTTGCTCACTCTCCCTTTGACTTTGTGTCAAATCTGAATTTTTAGCATCATCCTGTTATTTCTAGGCCATGGCAACTAATACCTTGTGGATGGGAGCAACACCCGCCACCTTGTTCTTTGAATCATTCCCTATTAGAGTTCGCACAGTTTTTCTTCCTGCGTCGGACGAATTTGAACTGAATGAGCTTGTGAAAAAGGTTATAATATGCTAGTCTTCACCTTTAAAGCTGTCATCAATTACAGGTTTCAACTGNCCCCCCCCCCCCCACCCCCACCTCCTTCCCCCTATTAACCTTCCAGTTAGTAACAGAGTTAGCACTAAAACCGCGCATCTTAAAAGCCACATTAAAAAGTTTTTTATTTCTGAATCTTGGGTGTGATAGTGCATGCTAACAATAGACTAAAATTTATTGCCCTAACATAGTTTCGAACTTGGCAATAATGTCCAACATTATGGGTTCTCAAATTCGTGATGCCTGGGATTGACGGCTGTTGAATTATGTCATTTTGTTTGTAGCAATTCCCTACTCCTGTTTTAGCATACTTATTTTCTAAAATGATTGTACGCGCCAAAATCTTTTCGTTTTCAATTTTTTTTCATTTTCTAACCTTTTACTTGCTGATTCTCATTTGGAAATTTCTTCCCTGTCAAATCATTGATTTTATATATTATTTTATTCTAATTAAGTCCTTTTATTTAGTCCATTAAATTGTTTGTAGCCCACGCGTAAAAACATCACATTTTGGTTCATACGTTCATTTACATTAAATACAATCACTTGTGCCATTGTAGTAAATAGTATCTTGTCAAAATACTGTCATTTTTATCATGCTGTTTACCCTGGATCGAATGCTAGACCCTCAGGGGTCTGTCATACCTATGTGGAACCTGGGATCATCCCTATTTCTTCACCTTTTTTTAACTAAAAAATTGGAACCTGGGGTCGTTCCAAATTGCCACAGGCATATTCTGTGTTTTTCCACTACGAAATCTCCAAATATCCACTGTCTTACCTTTAAGGATACGTTTACGTATGTGTGGTAAATTAATTTGCTAATCATTTATGGTTCTTTTATGTGCTTACATAGATTGGGATATGTGGTAAGTCGATAATTGTTTTCTTGCTGAGATTTCATATTCGGTTACAAGCGTATAAAATTTTTAGATGGCTGAAGTCTATAGACTTCTGAATTTGTGATTCGATCCTAGAACTTTCCTATTCATTGAACATTATTTTTTGGACTTATACAATTCAGGTTGATACTCCGATTCTGACAACAGCAGATTGCGAGGGATCAGGTGAGACATTTCTCGTAACCCCCACTGCATCCAGTTTGAAGGAAGGCGAGGAGACGTTGCAATCTTCTGATGGATGCGTGGATAGGGAGGGTCAAAGGCAAACACCCTCGCTCCATTTAACTGTCAGCGCTCAACTGCATCTCGAAGCACTGGCCATCGGAATGAATAAAGTGCGTTTATCTTCGAATTTTATTAATACTTAAAGGTGCAATTCATTCAACCACTAGTGCTAATTTTAACGCTTCAGGTAGGTAAAGTTCGCATAAATGGTAATAAAGGGAGTGTTGGGATTTGCATTTCAACATCTTTTGCCATCTTTGGGCCAAGTACAGCAAACTTTGTCCAAACACCGATTTTCTGCCGTTAAAGCCTCATATTTTTCGTTTGTATCGTGATGTAATTGAGAAATTCATACGCCGAACTGAGTTTTGACAGGATATGAAGAATTGCCGACCCCATTTAGATAATTCATTGCTTTTCTATAGTAATACCTAATGGTAGGAGGATAATTCAAACAAGTGAAGATCGAAATTTCATTATAAGTAAGATCGGGAGTATTTAAGTAAATGTCAAATTTATAGGGTCGAGATAACTGCGCTCTGTGTTTCCAATGAACCCTATCTTATCTGAGTGGGTTTGTTTTTAATTTTTGAATTCTGTTCAAAGTGATCTTGAAATATATATTTGAATGTGCTGACTTTCATAGTCGCGGCTTTTGTCTACTTAAGTCTTTTAGCGACTATTTTTGTAATGGCTTTGATTCGCTCTTCTTTATTACTTCTAACTTGAGTTTGTCTATTTGGGGAAATATTTATTTATATCAAATGGCAGGCTTTATGATAGTTGACTTTAGGCTTCACAGAGGGAGAGGAACATCAAATAGATAAAAGTCGAGAGGGAGGTGGGGGGGGGAGCAGAAGAGTGTTTCAAAGATGTAAAAGAGACAGACACAAAGGTAGATAAAAGGTGAGGTGAGTAGCGTGAAAGTGGTCGAATATGACATACAGTGGGGTCACGGTAGTTTGAAGTCAGAAGTCAACTGCCGGTTTATAGACCTTTTTGCCACATGAGCATACGTTGCCCAGGGAGCACCACGTGGAGGTAAGTCTATCGCACACCCCACTTGGGGAAATATTATGTCAAGTTCTTATTTCAAACTTGAGAACACTGCTATCATTTAAAAGGCTATGCGAACGGTTATTGTGAATGAGGGCACAAAGGACGTAGAATACTTCACTGGGGGTAATTTTGCCTAGACTACTAGCGTTATTATTATTATGGTTATTGCAGCCACCAGACAGGTACAAATCCACAATACAGGAGATCCTGTGTCTTAATAGAAGTCGATCGTGTTTTCTAGCACTGAGAGTCTGGATATCATAGAAGGGTATACTATTTTCTTGAGAAATTAGGACTTTTAAACCTGAGTACTCCTAAGTACTTTCTCTCTATAAATCTCAAGTGTATTTCGCAGGTGTCCAAGTAAAAATAGAATACCTTACTTGAATATATTTTCAACCTATCGCAGTCTCTCTAATTAACCATTCGAGTAGATTTTTCAATTGACGTTTGAAGATTGTATTAAATTCGAGCAATTTTATTAAATAAGTTAAAATTTCGGCTGAGCCACACCTCAGTCACCACCTTCAGGTTTTTCCTATTGATAATGTACTTGAAGTGCCTCTTGTTGATTATTTATCTCAAAGTGAAACATCGCTTCATTGTGGCGCTTCAGCGTATGAGTGACGGGAAGAAATAAAAGAGAAACGCTCATGTCGGCGGCACTTTTCTTCTAAGTGGTTCTCTCTGAGGACCTTAGAATTAATGCTTGCGTCTGTGATTGATTCCCCCCCCCCCCCCCCCCCCCCCCCCCCCCTTTGTGGAAATAATAATTTCCATTTGTGTACATATTTGTGCTCCTTGCCAATGTGTATATACTTCGTCTCAAAGTAGATTGTATTACTCTTGGCTTTCAACTAACCATGGAAAGCCGGCATTAGTCTTCTGAAAACCAGTCCTTTGTCGGCACATTCATATTTTTCGTTTAAATACAATTAGGTGCTGTTTTGAGGGGGGGTTGAAAGCAAGCATTCTTGTTACTCTCCCTTTCTGATTAATTGATTAAGAAAATGATATCGTGTCGATAATGGGCAAGTTTTAGTTTTTAATGCGTGATTAACGTGTCTATTACTAACTTTCCCCTCCTTGAAACGATCTAAAATGTGCTAGGTGCTGAGCCCTTATTGGCAAAGTAGGTTATGAACGTTTTCTTGATTGTATTCTTGGTTAAAAATGAACCATCGGTCTCAGTTTGGTATTGTATTAATCGGAATTTCTGAAATTTTTCACCTTATCCAAGTTTCGACCAAGTTGAAATTGATTCAACACCGTTAGATTGGTTAGACCTTGTACCGCATTTTTTATCAAAACGCCGAATCGCTGGACTGGCTTTCATGCTACATCTCTTATACAGTTTCACATAATTCCTAAGGTCAACACAATCGGATGATCATACGGAGTATGCGTGCAAGTGTTTATCATCATCAAAAACCAACTGCTCATTCAGTGAACTATGAGTGCTTGCCACTTATAGACCTCCCACCGTCTTCTTTCAATGACAGCACAATCACTTATGGAATATTTTCTTCAGCAGAATATTTAGTTATTTCAAATAGCAAGCGTTTTTTAATAGTTATCATTGACCCTTTAGTTGACTTCGGACTTCACAGAGAGGAGAAACATCAAGGTAAGAAAAAGTTGAGGGGGGGGGGAACAGAAGAGTGATTCACAGGTGTAAAAGAGACAGACAGGCACAAATGCTCAGAAAGGGTAAGATGAGTACAGTAAAAGGGGTCGAGTATGACTTGCAGTCGGGCCATGACAGTTTGAAGTTAGAAGTCAACAGCCGGTTAATAGACTTTTTTTGCCGTATGAGTAAACGTTGCCCAGGGTGCACCACATGGAGGTAAGTCTATCACAGAATATGCACTCAACAATTTTACTGTTTTGGTATTGACACTCGAGAATTCTCCAAGCAAGAAAATGATAATGCTTCAGTCAGTCAAGAGGAGGCATCAATTTGGATAGACTAGAGGTGTCCCAGTGAGAAACACGCAACCCCCCCCCCCCCCCCCCCACCCTTGTGCCAATGAAACCGGTGTTGCCAATCTCGTGACATGGAATTCAGTTAATATTTTCGTTACACCCCGCGTTATCTTGATCTGGTAAATAAAAACTTTTGAAAATTTGGAACATAGTGGTGAAATGTCAAGTCGCCATTATTTTTTTTTTCATTGCAAAATTGGCAATAGCATTTCACTGCAAGATGATTAACTCGCACACAGTCATGTGGAAGTAGTTTTTCATTGCTGTTGTGCAATGACAATCCAATATCCTCCTCCTCTCTCTGAACTACCAATTTTAGTCAATTTCAATTATTAACAATTGTTGAAGCACATTTCTTGGGCGAAAAAATACGAAACTCTTTTGTACGGTTATATTATTTGTTGAAATTGCCTTCTTTCATTAATCTGAAGCTTAAATTCTTATCGCTTGTTGGTGCTTTCCCTCCTAACTCACTCACGTTTCTTTTAAGTTGCCATCCTTATCCTTTCAACTTGCCATTGATTTAAAAACTATCGATTTGCCTTTAAACTTTTCAATTATATTGTATTGAAGACAAAAAATCCAACCATTCACATATTCAGTTATTGTTTTAATGATCGATTGTGGTATAATACTTGCCATCGGAGTTTTGATTAATGGACATCTCTTGGTTTGTAGATGCCCTAGTCCTTGTCGTGAAATGCAGAATTTTCTAATGTGAACTACACATTTAGGAAGTACTGTGCAACCTATTTATTTATATCAAATGGCAGGCTTTATGATAGTTTTCACTAGCCATTTAGCTGACTTCGTGTTTCACAGAGGGAATTAAAATCGAAGTGAGAAAAGTCGAGAGGGGGAATGGAAGGGTTATTCATCGATATAAAAGAGACAGATAGATACAAAGGCAGAGAAAAGTTAAGATAGGAGTTGTGGAAGTGGTGGAATATGACATTCAGTGGGGTGATGGTAATTTGAAGTGAGGAGTCAACTGCCGGTTAATAGACTTTTTTGCCGTATGAGTATACGTTGCCCAGGGAGCACCACGTGGAGGTAAGTCTATCGCACACCCCTGTACTGTGCAACCTAAATCCGGACATCTGATGCGGTTCGACTTCTTTTAGACATCTTCTTTTGCTCTCAGAGATCTTTTACTTCCTCCCTCCTTTTTTGCATTGCGTTTGCACATACTGTTAGCCAATGCCATTTGTAAAAGGAAAATAAGCAATATTTCATATTACAGTAGTAGAAAGGACCGTTTTGAAATCGCAAGTTTTTTTTCATATTTAGGTTAAGAGAATAGAGTGTTTATGTATTTTGTTCACTCTACAGGTGAGACTGTCAACACAAGTCAAGAGATCTGACCCAGAGTATTTTCATCTACTGATTTTATTCATTTGGTATTATTTTTTCTAATGGGAATATTCAGGTCTCGCATGATTGTTCTTTGAATAGTTAGTTTCTGTCCTTCTATTCTACATCATTTAGGATAATTCACATATATGGGAGTTTTATTGGCACGTATTTAGAGAATGATCATTTGGAAAGATGTGAGTTTATCGGTGTGCCTAGACTGTGATTGGGTATGGTCCGGTTCGTTGTCTTTGAATATTTGCTAATATTATTTCTTAAATTTGTTTCTACGAAAGTTGTCACTAAAATGTGTAGTTAACCTAACTTGCACTTGTCATGACACGTTGATCTAAGCAAGTCGCATATCTTATCCGGATACAACAATAGCACTTTTGTTTTTAGCAACCTTTCTAGACCCTAAGGAGACAAAAGACTTGTTGCTTAACGACTACCTCTTTCACTTTACTATGAAAGTACAACTTATTTTGCGCAAAGTTTGCTTTAGGAGTCTGCTTGACTACCTGCCTGCTTAGCCAGTGACTTACCAGCAAGTGAACTTAATTTCCATGCTCGAGTGGCTGGAAAATCCAGTGTTCCAAAATCGATCTCTTTTCACCGTATTTTATGACTTTTGCTCAGGGGTGTGCGATAGACTTACCTCCACGTGGTGCACCCTGGGCAACGTACACTTATACGGCAAAAAAGTCAATAAACCGACAGTTGACTTCAAGCTACCATGACTCGATTGTATGTCGAATTCGACCACTTCCATAATACCTTTTTCTCAACCTTTGTGTCTGTCTGTCCCTTGTGCATCTGTGAATCACTCTTCTGTTCTCCCCCTCGACTTTTTCTTACTTTGACGTTTCTCCCCTCTGTGAAGTCCGAAGTCAGCTTAAGGGCTAATGATAACTATCAAAATGCCTGCTATTTGTTATAAATAAGTAATGGATTTCATTCAGGTTTTGGGCAATTCTCCATTCCGCTTTCGATCCCCTCTTGACGTGTTTTCTTTATTATGATTAATTCATAATTCCATCTATTATGATAGATTATATTATAGCTCTCTATACTTCAAAATTTGATTCATTTTCAAGAACAATTGTGAGTTATTTTGTGCGCATAGCAATCTACCTTAATGCTTTCGCTTTTAGTTGAGGTAGAGCTACCGTTTCCCTTTTTTCTACTTTCTGTACCAACTTGGAATTTATGCATTTTGCCCTCTAGAACTTACTTACAAATTTAAGCGAGGCTCATCATTGTTAATGGTATATTTAGGGAGAGAAATTTCAGCTCCTAAATCATGTCAACATATTGCTATTTTCAACTTTACAAATTCTAACTCCGAAGGGTGGGATGGAGATGTAACACTATTATTAGAAAATAAAGAGAGAAGCCATAACTGAAATCCGAAATTTTGACTGATTAGAGGAGGGGATTACGAAAATAAAAATTTCTGATAATGTGGAAAAAATCGATGAATAGTTTGTCGGCCAATTGGAAAGTCGTGGATTGAACATACTGATGGAGGCAAAAATCGGTTGAATAAATTATTACTTATGGGAAATTCAAAGAATACTATAACCTACCTGGTTGCTAAGGATATTACTGAATTTTTTATTTATGTTCTATAAAATGCTTCATAAAATTAGCATTCATTGTTTTGTACGCGTCTTTACCATTAACAGGTCTATACATTGAGTCCGACATTTCGAGCAGAGCCCTCGCACTCGCGTTTTCACTTGGCTGAATTCCTCATGTTAGAAGGGGAGTCTGTGGCTATGACGACTACGGAGGCACTTTGTGACGAGGTCGAGGCCATTGTGCGTAAGATAACCACTATGTACCTGGAAAGCATTTCTTCCTCCTCTTCTGGATCCTCTACCCCTCAAAAGGTCAGTTTTTTTCTATTTTTCCAACCACTCCTTTTTAATGCCAAACTATAAGACAAATTAGGCTATTGCATCTGTGTTTCGTAGTTGAATTTTATGTTTACTGTTACAGTATGGTGCTTCAAGGTACTTTGAGTCAAGAAATAAGGGGGGATAGATTTTCTCAACTCTCCCTCTCTCTCTCTCTAGTATTCTAGTACGCTCTTATCACCTAAGATATTACACTAGACTTACCTCCACGCGGTGCACCCCGGGCAACGTATTCTCATACGGCAAACAAGTCTAGCAACCGGCAGTTGACTTCTGACTTCAAGCTGCCATGACTCCACTCTATGTCTTATTCGGTCACTTTTAGCGTACTTATCCTACCTTTTCTCTGCCTTTGTGTCTGTCTGTCTGTCTCTTTTACAACTTTAAATCACTCTTCTGTCCCCCCCCCTCTCCACTTTTTCTCACTTTGATGTTCCTCCCCTCAGTGAAGCCAGAAGTCAACTAAAGGGCTAATGCTAAGTATCATAAAGCCCATCATTTGAAATAAACACTAGGAACGAATTCGAAAAGTTGGGTGTACGCAGTAAGTGTACAACATGGATTCACCGACTTGATCACTCCCTCAATCTTTTTTTATTGAATTAAATGCTTTCCCAATGGAATATTACAATAGGTTGCCCTATCTTGAATATTCGCTTGCTATTACTTCTCATATGAAATGTTCTCACAGTAATTATATCTTTTTTTATTAAACGCTTGACTGCTTTTAGTTCCAGGCGTTAATTTTTTCCATAGTAGTTGTTGCATTCCTGCAATAGACTGGTCTCAATAAGGGACAACATCCGACGTGTTTGGGTAAATTCCATTTTACCGCCTCTGAGATAACCTCATAGTTACTTAAATGAGTAATTATTTCATCCCCACCCCCAAACCGCTATTTTTATAGATAATTAACAATCATACGAAATAAACATATCGAAATGTTGACTTACTTCTTCTTCTTGGTTGTAAGTTTTCAATTATAGCCTACACATTCCTTTTAACATTGGCATGGCTTAATCTTGTTGTTTCCTTGATGCCAATAACAAGGGCATCTTGGCAATAAGATTTTATTGTCCTTTTGTCATTTTAAGTGCCCTTTACTTGACCAAACTAACCATAATGTTTGTTAAATGATGTATGACCATTCTTCTTTTTATTTTATGTACTGCATCGTTTGAATGGATAGTTTCTATTACGGTTCCAGTAGGGTTTCAATGCCTTTAAGCCTCCTGCACTAGATGATACAGGCTTGAACCTCACTAATTCATCTGCAGTTAATGAGTTAATCATCTTTGCTACAGATCAAAGTTCCCTAATTGGATTTGCTTTGGCTCTTAGGTACCTAAAAAAATAAAATTGGTGTCATAACTTGGTAGACCAATTTATGATTTTGTCCTTTATTTCAAATTTGGTAATCTCTCACAAGCTAAATGAAAGGTTAACTTAATGACTGGAAATAATTATTTCACATTATGCGTATAGTTCTACGTTTACTTGCACATTTTTTCTTTTCAAATATGCTCAGTAAAATTTTAGGATGTACCTCTAGCTTTTTACTCGCTATATACAACTGGCATTATTATTAGTATTAGTAGTAGTATATCGAATGGCAGGCTTTATGATAGTTATCATTAGCCCTTTAATTGACTTCAAGCTTCACAGAGGGGAGGGAACATCAAAGTGGAAAAAAAGTCGAGGGGGGGGGACAGAAGAGTGATTTAAAGTTGTAAAAGAGACAGACACCCACAAAGGTAGAGTAAAAGGTAAGGTGATTACTGTGGAAGTAGTCGAATATGACATACAGTGGGGTGATGGCAGTTTAAAGTGAGAAGTCAACTGCCGAATAATAGACTTTTTTTTGCCGTATGAGTATGCGTTGCCCAGGGAGCACCACGTGGAGGCAAGTCTATCGCACACCCCCAAAACTTCCGTAGTAGTAGTAGTGTTATTGTTAATAGCGATTGAGAATTTGATTAAATTGAACTTAATATTTATGTGTTTGAGTCTAGGCTTTGTGTCTCATCAGAGGGTAAGTCCACCTTACTGCCCACTTGCTTGCATCTGCTTTGTTTTCAGGTGGCGTTAATCGCACCTACAATAAGATCTGGTTTTCAAGGTTGCATCGCATAATTTATGCCAATCATCAGTTTATTTTTATAGGCGTTGCTTGCCCCATCCTACATCTAACTGTCTTACAGAAGACAGGCATGGATAGTTGTATAAAATAGGGCAGAAATCAAGGTTTCTTGATTTTGCGCACGACTAAGTAAAACTTGAAAGTTGTTGAGTCTGTATTGATTAATCACAAAAAACTCTGAAATCAAGGCAATTGAAGATGACATACAATGACCGCTAGTGATCTGAATCACAGACCGAGTATTTGAGCAAAATATCAATTTTTAATATGTAATGCAACCGTATCTATGCTTATATAGGTGTGCATTTAATTCGCCCAACTCAGACTTGCAAATTTTCGTTTAATTTATGCTAGAAACGTCAAGTTTAATTGAGAATCTGTCATACCACTAGGTCAGTAGATTTTAAAATATATTATAGATTTTAGTTGAATTAATCGCTCAATATTAGCATTAAATATTCTTACTGACTTAAATTTTACTTCTCAGGATCTTGCGCTCGTTCTCTCCTATCTCGCAGAATCTCTTGATTCCATGAATGTAACCACTCATCTCAGCTCACTAGATTCCATTCTCAGTCGTCCTTTCACCCGAATGACATTCCATGAAGCTCTGGCTACTCTCAACCGCCTTGGTAAACGCACTTTAGCTTCAGAAACCAACGGATTCAGTAAAGAGGAAGAACAGGCTCTCTGCTTATCCGCTGGCAACAGTGCGGTCTTTGTGACGGATTTCCCCTTATCTCAGAAGCCGTTCTACTGCTCCAGATCGCCAGCGAATGCTATGACCTCAGCTGCTGTGGATCTCCTAATTCCTGAAGTCGGTGAAATGGTTGGAGGATCTGTGAGGGAGGATAATAGGGAGAGACTTCTGGAACGAATGCCTGGTGGTGAGGTGGGAACTCTGAACTGGTACGCGGATCTGAGAGGTCATGGTGGTGCACCCCACGGTGGATTTGGTCTGGGATTTGATCGGATGCTACTGTGGTTGCTTGGGGTGTATAATATTAGAGATACGGTGACCTTTCCGAGGGAAATTGGAAAAATGTATTTGTAGTTTAGACATTTCTGTTCTGTGCTTGTGAATCTTTATAATGAAATCAGTAAAATGCCTTGAAATTTGAATGCTAAGCAGGAAGTGTCAATTTATCACCCGATTTCTTTTGTAAGCCTGGGTTGATGATCCTTCTATTTATCGATTTGAAAAATGGACATATTGGAGTTTTATACTATCTTGCATTTTATGATTTAACTCCTTAAATGATTGTTTGTATTAATTTTTTTATATCAAATGGCAGGTGTTTTGATGGTTATCATTAGCCCTTTAGTTGACTTCAGGCTTCACAAAGGGGAGGAGAAACATCAAAGTGAAAAAGGTCGAGAGGGGAGGGCGCAACAGAAGGGTGTTTCAAAGACGAATGTAGATGAGGTAGAAAGAAGGTGATGTGAGAACTGGGGAAGCAGTCGAATATGACATAGAGTGGGGTGATAGCAGTTTGAAGTCAGAAGTCAACTGTCGGTTTATAGACTTTTTTTGCCGCTGCCCAGGGCGCACCACGTGGAGGTAAGTCTATCGCACACACCATGATTGTTTGTAGATAAATGGTGAACACCATACGGATTTAGTCTTTACAAGTTATCTTTTTTCAATAGCTACGTTCCAAAATATATCCCATTCCGGGAATTAGGCATTGAATTTATGCAAGTCTCAAATTGAACAGCTTTAACAAAATGAAATAGAAAAGCGAAAGCAATATAACATTCTTATTTTTTGAGTTAAGAACTAGTCCATCAAAGCAGGAACTACAGTTGTTGCTAATTCCCAGTAGAACATGGTATAATGTACGAAGTTTAACTATTTATCCGTAACTTAAGCTACATATTTTTTTCTTCATTTAATGATTTTGATAAAAGACTCCACTCATAAAAAGTCGACATTGTTTGCAATACTTAATAATAATTCCCATCATTGTGGTTTTTAATCCTCCTGGTAGTTATGGCTGGTATCCACTCACTTCTTGATAATTTCTTCGTATTTATGGACCGATATTAAATATTTCCTTGTGGGAGTCTCGCCAACACCTTCAGATAAGGGTACATATCAAGCATAAATCACTAACCGCCTTGCTCAATTGTTTAAAATGACAAGAAATAAACTTCACGACGTGGTATTACATTAATCTTCAAATAAATTCATCCTGACTGGTGCATAGGGCGCTTTATGACATGAGAACTGTTTTACCAATGATGAACCATGATAATCTTGGAAAATCATGAAAATTTTATTATTTTAAATGTTAGGCTTTATGATATTTACCATCAGCCCCTTAGTTGACTTCAGCTTTCCCCATGAGTGGGGGGGGGGGGGGGGGGTACATTTATATCAGTTCATTAGTTGTCTTCTTGCTTCCCAGTAACTCTGGGTTTCCGTTGTTGTCTTTAGGAATGGACACCGAATCAGGTGGGTCTTCCCCTTTTCCTCCTGTAGGTTACATAGGGGGACATGTGGGTTGAGTGTATACTCCTAATCTGTGAAGTTGTTTTGCCAGACAATCGTGTCCGGTACGTAGTATAAACTCAGCAACGGCTTCGAATCTTGGCCAGTCATGAAAACTAATCTCGAGCAATGTGACATTTATCGAAACCGCTAATTAGAGACCAATAATTCCCAGTTTTTCGCACTAATATCAGTGGCTTTTTGCCATGTTTAACTTACCTATTTACACGGGTTACTTGAGTTAGTCTAATAATACTTGTAGCGGATTTGCAACGCTAACAAGCCACGACAATACTCAGAATTCTCTATGGCAAACTTCCTTAGTTGGAAGGGCTACCGCGATAATTGAGAGAATTAAGACGCGTTGCAAGCGATATATTTATTCCAAATTATGATATGGGCAAATATTTATTTATTGCAAATGGTAGGTGTTTTGGTAGTTATCATTAGCTCTTTGGCTGATTTCGGACTTCACAGAAGGGAGGAACATCATAGCGAGAAAAATTCGAGAGGGTGAAAAAGAGTGATTCACCGATGTAAAGAGACAGAAGTACACAAAAGTGGTCGAATATGACATACAGTGGGATCATGGCAATTTGAAGTCAGAAGTCAACTGTCGGTTAATAGACTTTTTGCCGTATGAGTTGAAGTCAGAAGTCAACTGTCGGTTAATAGACTTTTTGCTGAAGTCAGAAGTCAACTGCCGGTTAATAGACTTTTTGCCATCAGAAGTCAACTGTCGGTTAATAGACTTTTTGCCGTATGAGTATACGTTGCCCGTGGTGCACCGCGTGGAGGTAAGTCTATCGTGCACCCCTTATCGGCAAATATAATTAGTTATCAAGTAAATCTGCCCTAATTTGTGTGAACATTAATAGATAAATATCTGGGCGGTGGTCTATATTTACGGCCGCACACCAAAATGTTCAGGCGAGAATTTTATTGTGTGAGGAGTGCATACACAACAATACTCCTCCTCAAATGCATAAGGGAATGCTTGGATAGGGATGCTAGAGGTAACAGTATCTACAGGTAAGGTTTGTTGGCGGTTCGGCTGATTGAATTCCGGATTACGATTTTCAGGCAATCATATTTCCTTTCGATATCGGCTCCACGTTGGGCTGTGACTTATCATTGACTTATATACAGTGTGGGTATTTCCTTGTGGTCAGCATAAATAACTGAAGGAGTTTGAAGTTAGTAATGATATAACTTTAGAGCATTTGACATAATAATATGGATTTCCCAAAATAATTAAGTGACTGTTATGGAGACAGTTATTTTATTCCATGGTGATCAATATAGCACAGTATATTAAGTTGCCCTAATAACCTCGATTACTTAAAGTCGCTTATATATATATATATATATATATATATATATTCTAGCAAGGGCAGTAGATGATTTATGGACCAGTGTAAATGATTAAAGACTAGAACAATATTGTTGAAATAATTGTCGTCATAAGTAAATAAGTTCCCTGTGCTTTAGATAAGAAACATAACAATTTTACTAATACCATTGCCAAGAGCACCTGATTAATTTATTTTTGTGACAGACAGGGCTATTTAAGTGAAAGTTGCATTATTTGGAAATATATGGTCCCCTAATAAGGTGTGAAAAATAATGGCTCAACCAAAAGCTCTGATAAGTGGTAGGTAATATAAGTTTAATACATAAGATTCTTTATTCTGAAAAATCAGATTACGTGAAGTTTGCCTAATAAAAAAATGATTGTAATTTTCCCTTATTTTTATGCCAGTTTGATAATGCATAGAATTATTTCGTATGAACAACATTTTGGGCAATTACAAAGGATCTTACGATGTAATTTCAGAAGGGAATTGCTTGATCATGTTATGTGAAACTAGATAATAAGGCATATCTTGTACCAAATGGGCAGTTATTTTAAGTTAAATTCAGAGTATTTATATTCTGTAAATCAGAAAATGATTAGGCATCGGTATGACGAGAAATTAAAAGTTGACAAAGGTAAAGTCACTATTTAAGAATTAGTGAATTTCGAAATGCAGACGATTATAATATTTAAATATAAGTTAACAATAATGTGAACAAAATATTCATTTTAGTTTATATAAATTATTGTGTTAATAAAAGCTTAAAGCTACTTATTTTAATTTTAGATATTTTTATTTCTCGAAAAATAATGCCTCGAAATTTAATAACTTAAACAACCGGTGCGTCCACTCAGTTGTGTGTGTTGTTTGTTAAATGCCATTTTATGCTTTATCTTATTCCCTTGCTCTAATGTAATCTCGTTTCCAGCATGGAAGTGCGCAGACGGGAGTTTACTGCGTATGAATCTCTGCTTACGACAGTATCACCCCCGCCATCTAGCAGTAGTGATGATATCAATGAGCCGAATTATGTCATTGATAATCCCCGGGCTATTTTTCATCTTTGGGATTGGGTTTTAATACATCTTACTATTCTTCTTTGTATTGTTTATGTTCCGTTACAATCGATTTCCTGTGGTCCTCTTATTACTAATACTGGTCTAGACAATACGAGTTTCCAGGAGCCCTTTGCTAGGAAGCACCTTCAATATGTTACTTCTCTAGGCCCTCGAACAAGTGGCTCAATTAATAACGAAATTCATGCCCGCAAATATCTATTTTCACAATTGCAGAAGATACAGCTTCTTGCACGCTCTTCTGGCCTTGATGCGGATATTGATGAACAAATTTCTCGTTCCGCCTCCTTCCAAACCCACGTTCACGTTACGACCTATGCTCACATTCCGAACCTTCTTCTCCGTTTACATGATCCGCGAATTAAAAGGATTTTACCTGCTCGTGCAATTTTAATCAATTGTCATTACGATAGTGCTCTTCAAAGTCCTGGGGCCTCTGATGCATTTGTTGGTTGTGCAAATTCGCTCGAAGTTGCCCGAGTTCTTGCAAATGGTGTATATCCCCTTCTGAATGATGTTATTTTCTTGCTAAACTCTGCTGAAGAAATCATCCTCCCCGCTAGTCATGCTTTCATTACTCAGCACCCTTGGGCTGCGGACGTCGCAGTTTTTGTTAACCTAGAAGGCGCAGGAGCCGGCGGAAAACTCATGGTGTTTCAAAGTGGTCCTGGACCTGCTAGCTCAGCTTTAATTAAACTTTATTCTTCAACTGCTCGTTATCCATCCGGATCCGTAATTGGAGAAGAGGTATTTCGTTTTCGCTTAATTCCGTCAGACACTGACTTTCGCGTCTTCCGGGATTATGGCTTCATCCCAGGATTAGATTTTGCCTATATTGGAAATGGATATGCCTATCACACTTGCCATGACAGAGAAGAACGTATCTCTCCATCCTGTCTCTACCTAGCTGGTGATAATCTACTTCAACTCATCAAAACTATGGCAGCTGATCCAGAAGTCAACAAAATCAAAAGACTTGAGCGTACTGGACCCCGTCCCCCCAAAGAATTTCTTTATTCCCGTGTAGGTGGGACGGGCAGTATTCATGATGGGCCTGATCCACCTGAGCACTCCAATGTCGCAAGATATGTCTATTTTGATATTTTAGGAACTTTTATGCTGCGGTACCCCTGGAATATTGGCCGTTTTCTTCATTGGGGTGTTGTCATTTGGATTTCTTTGTGGGTCCTTCGTTTGCAAACTACTGCAGCAGGCACTTATTACGGTTTATTTCTTGCTTTTACAATTCAAATGGTCTTCTTTGTCACTAGCCACTTCTTTTTATTTATTGTTGGATCTTTCTTCCATATGTATGGTTGCAGAATGTCCTGGTTCACCAACAAATGCAACATCTTTGGCCTCTATGTGCTTCCTCTTCTTTCCTACTTTTTAGCCTACTATACCAAACTTTTTCAGATTCCCAGGGGGAGTTTGTTGAAGTTTTATCCACTTCGTTATTTGCTTGGTCAGAGCAACTGGATAGATGAAACAGTGATCATATCCCAACTAATTGAAAATGACTTCTTCAAAGCTAATATTCTTGTTCTGAATACCCTCTCCCTTCTCGCGTTGTGTTTTGATAGTCCAGCATCCTATATCACGATCGCTTGGTGTCTTTCCACAATCCTTCTGCGATGGACCTATCAGAAGCTTTCCGGGCCAAATTGTCGTTTTGCTTTTGTGCGCATTCTAGTTTTACTTCTTCCTCCTCTTATAATCTTCCAGATTTCCTCAGTTAATACTCTCTTTGAGGTATTCATTCCAATTATGGGACGCGCAGGACAAAATGCAAAGCCAGATGCTATTATTGCTTGTTTGGTGGCCTTAACTTCATTCCCAATTCTCATATTCTGCACAGATCCAATTCAGCTAACCACTACTTCTGCAAGTCGTGTTCTTAGACGCATGACTCTAAACGGATGTATCACCTTCATTCTTGTAATTCATACGTCAATCCTAGGCTTCCCTTATACGGTCATACCAGAATCCCACCGCTTCACTATGGTACCTAGTCAACAACGAGTTGCAGTTTTCCATACTAATCGAGTATTTAGCGATAGTGCTTTCAATTCTGGAGTTACTAAAGAGGATTCTGGTGTCTTCATCTTTCCTCTGGATTCTAATCGATTCCGTTATTACCATCACCCTCCATCCCGAACTCCAAACCCCTTCATGATCACCGTTCAAAGTTACTTTACTTCCAATCCAATTGAGCCATTCTATTTCCCTGAAATAGAACAGACGGAACCCTTCTCCTTCCAACACTCCATACCTTACTGTGGGGTTCCCTCGATTTATCCTCTATTGAATGCTTTTGATACTGTTTACTACTTGCCCGCCTCAAAACACAATGCCTCCTTCACTGGTTTCACAATCTTAGAACGAAATGACGAAATCTCCCCAAAGGGGAATAAACTCGTTAATCTAACTCTTTCAATTCACTCAGGTTCGCCATTGACTCAACTCTATTTGAGAACTGCACCAGATTATGTACGTCTTATAAAATGGTCATTTGTTTCTGAGAATGCACACCCATATCCTGTTCCCATTCCACGAAAAAATATTCGTGATGTTGATGCGAATGGACCTAAATCAGCTCACTTCTATATAAACCATATTGATCCTTCGTGCGCTACTTCTTCCACTGGTCTTTGGGTCCAACCCTGGCTTTTCTGGCTTCAATTCTCTCTCACTAATGAGCCAATAAAACCCGAAATCGATGATGTTAACCTGGGAGTTGGTATCGCTGTTGTTAATCAATATATGGATGAACAAGCTCCAACAGGAACATCAGAACAACTGCGATCAATTCTTCGCCGTTTACCAGAGTGGTCTGTTGTTACTCATTGGGTCTCCTCGTACAATTACACTCGCCTGCTCCTTCTGAAATGATTTTTAAAGCTCATTTGAATTAACTATTTCTCTTTGATTTTACGTGTCTGGTTTTTACTGTTTTAATATATTTTATCTTTGCTCTGAATGTTTTTTATCATTGTTCTAATCAATTCTATTTTCATGCATATCCTTGTGTATTAGCCTGTTTTAATACCCGTTCATTGCTTCAGATGGGACACACAATACTTCTGCTGCAACAGCAAGTCAAAAAGCCAGATTCTCGATTATGGGCTGACTACGAGACTGTAAACCAGTGTTTGGAAGGTGTCTGCAAGATCTACGAGGAGCAATTGAAGCAACAGAACCCTACTGCGCCTACTATCACCTATGACATATCTCAGCTCTTTGAATTCGTTGACCAACTAGCGGATTTGAGTTGTCTGGTGTTCAATCCCCATTCGGGAACCTATGTGCCACACACCAAGGAGTGGATCAAGGAAAATATCTATGCTCTCCTTCGTAAACAAGCTGGACAGTAAAGATTGAATGTTGCTACAAACCCGTTTGCACCAATGCATCGTTCTTTGTCTGAATAAAGTTTTTTGAATAACCTGTAGCGCTGTCTTCTTTGTATTTGGTTGCGCTTGCACGTCGCATTAAATGTATCTATGCGCCTATAGGAAACGAAAGACACCTGCCGTGGACAAACAGAATCAGATTCTGAATGTGATATAAAGAATCCTCTTCAGAGTAAGCTTACGGCCGTATAAGGCTAGTCACCCGGTTAGATTTGGACTGCGTGGTTATATGTTCCTGTTCGTTTTTTTCGTTAGGCTTCAACTTAAGGAGTTACTTGAAAGAGGAGATATGGCAGAGTTCGAGACGACATAATGAGGAGAATAACTCCCAAGAACAAATTTGTGGGCCATTTCGAAATCGGGTTTGGAAGTTCCTCTCCATACCACAGTATTTTGAATCGGTGCGTAGTAATATTCAGCCTATAAACCCCTCTGTTTAGTTTATGTGTTATGGTCTTCTCCAATGCTTGGATCACATCTTGATGGTTTATACTTTTCTCCCCCTTCGATGTATACTCCTTTTCATGTCTCTCCTCTCCTACAGTTTCTTCAGCTTCCTTGGACTTTGGATGCCCCCCTTTAGGTAGGTTTGTCTGTTTCTTGAATTTGATCTCTTTAGACCGGAAAAATTCACCCTCTATGCGACAGATGCGCGAGAGTTGGTGAAGTTCTCGTTTGTCTGTATTTGTACAGTTTTTCTCTACACATTTGATAGCTCCATTGCTTACCATGAGATTCGAACCCAATCTATTATCAAGATCTACATTTTTTTCAATTTGTTGGAGGTAAGTCGTTCTTCACTAATTCGGTATTATATACCCCATTTTGTGTTGGTTTTCGAATTTTGTGTGCGTGATTTTGAGCAAATTATCAGTGATTCTTTAAGATGATTACCTAATACAAAATTATGCGCCTTTTGGTGTCTAATCAAATAAGACTTTTGGCGCATGTGCTTAATCAACAAACAAGAATTCGAATTATTCAGAGGTTAAATATTCTACTTACCACTTGCTTGACTATGTTTTAACGGTTTTTATGTGTCAGCGCTTGTGGATTCTAAATTATATATTTTTTTGTTAAATTATTTGCCTGCATGGTCGATTCGTTTAATTTCCTGTGAGTTTTGAAAAGTTGTCCAGCTGGTTTATTGGCTATTGCTTGGTAGAAGGAAAATGTAAGGTTTAATTATCCCATCACTATGGTTATTGGCATTTATTGTCTATGGTGTGGTTAAAAGTGTTAGGCATTGTGGGTGCTTTTAAAAGATCTTATTTCCCTTGATGTTTTAATTAATTAATTTAATGCGGCTTTCTACACAACCTGGACTTCATATTGTTTATCGATTTCTCCCCCTCTTCTTTGCGTGGTCTTTTTGGCTTTACTAATTAAGCGAAACTTCTGTTTAAAAAGCCCAAATGAGCTCCCTACTTTACGCTAGTCTTTTAACTTTCCCCATTAGGAGTTAGGGGGTGGGGGGGGGGGGGGGGGGGGGGGGGGGGGNGGGGGGGGTGGGTGGAGGGGGGCAAATGCGCAGTGTCCTACTTTAGGTACCTTCTAAGCTAGAGTTTCTCTTGGAGAATAGCTTCATTTGTTCATTTGAATGTGATGAATGGAAATATATGAGCAAATAGTCTTGAAAATTAGTCCATATAATTGCCATAATCAGATGATAGTGCAATAGTAAATATTGAATGCCACTTTTGACGCAAAAATATGCTATACTTTTATTTTGTAATGAATATAACTTATTTCGAATTCATCCAAAGGTTTTTAGGTGATATTTTATTAATTATTGTTTTATCTGTACGGTTCTCGACTCGGAGCAAACAGTATTCTTGGACTGTCTTATTCGGTATCGTTCAACTACATAAACGTTGCTCTAGAAATATGATATTATCTTTCGTTTTTTCAACTTCTATGGTTCCTATAAACATAAATAATAGTAGATTTCAAATCTATTGAAAGATTTTTATCTGTCGCTCGTTTTAAGCTGATGAAAAATGTATCCCTTCGTCGTTTCTTCTCTGGTTTGTTCTAAAAAATAACATTTTTGAGTTTTTAAGGAAGGGGATGTTTTTTTGCCATTTTTTCAATCCTGTTCATAAATCTTCTTTAAGCACTGTTTGTTTCTGTCAGAAATTTCTGTATTGAAGAATGTGATTCCATTGAATTTTATTGCCTTCTTGACCAATCGAGTTTCCTTATTCATGCGTTTTCTCGTAAGTTTTGCTCATCAAAAGTGCTGATTTTTTGTAGTATGGATGGGACAAGAATGAGGAGTTTTCATAGGAATTGAAAAAGTTCTTGCACTATTTAGTGGATTCGGAAATGCACTTTCTCAACTAGTTTGAAATTAACCATGTTTCCCTATTCTAAACTGATGCAGTTGTGCTTACTTCATGAAATTTTGTGTTTTAGCCCTGTCAATGCTAAATATTTTACACATTTATATGCTTATTTTAAGTTCAATTAGGTTGCTTACAATTACCGGAAAACCATTGTAAATTCGATACCCTAGTTAGTTATTTTCGAATTGTTTTAGTCTACAATGCACACCTTGTTTATCTTATACCTACCTCAGCAACTAGCTATCAGCTTATTGGTTTACATATAGTTAGTTCGTGTTGATCGTATTTTAAATAAGGTGGTTTACAATTGACCAAGCACGCTATGATTGGTTTATTGAACAGGAACTTTTTTTATTTTTTATTCAATGTTATTGTTACTTAAGCGATTGAATTGAGCCTTGTCTATTTCGGCAACTGTTATGTTCGCAATAAATAGTTTCATGGGAGTGAGAAATAGTCTTATTTTTGTGAAAGGGCTCATTACTGGCATAGATATCGTCTTTATGGTAGCGAAAACTTACCAACAGTCCGCTTTTGTCAAACTGGTTTCCTTTAGAGAAATTGCATGGCAATGGTTTAGACATATGGTCCAGTGTAAATATCCTACGTTAATCCAAAAAATGGTAATCGTAAAGTAAATAGACAAACTTGGTCATCATTTACAATAAAATTGTGTACTTGGCCTTCGTCTCGTTTCTTATTGGATTTTCAAAAGTTAAACAAGGTAATATCGGTCGATTGGTTTACATAATATGGGTAAATTTTTAAGTTAATTCATAGATTATTGTGGTGTAAATTACATTATATTTTTCTAATTTAATCTAGTTTGAATGCAAGCTGGATATCGATCGACCAATTTAAGGACAGCTTATTCAAGTAGTTTTTTAAATGTCATTATAGTTAAATTTTATACCGAGTGAAGGTTGTGACTAAGTGGGGAGGGGGGGGGGAGAGGTTACGAAAAGATATGATTGAATATACCCCCATGTATTTATTTATTTATATCAAATGTCATTCTTTATTATAGCTATCATTAGCTCTTCAGGTGACTTCGGGCTTCAAAGGGGGAAAGGACATCAAAGTCACAAAAAGTGGGGCGGAGGGAACAGAAGAGTGATTTAAAGATGTAAAAGAGACAGACACAAGGGTAGAGAAAAGGTAAGATGCGTACTGTGAAAGCGGTCGAATATGATATGCAGTCGGGTCATGGTAGTTTGAAGTCAGAAGTCAACTGCCGGTTCGTAGACTTTTTTTGCCATATGTGTAATGTTCTTATGAGTATGCATAGAATTATGCTAAATAACCCTTGGCCTATGTCGACAGTCCTTTCACTTAAGTGTAAAGAAATTCTGCAAAAATGAAATTTGCCTTTGCGCTACCGTCGATACATCAACCAATGCTAGTAAAACTTCCTATATTTCCATTGTTTAGCATCCTTGATGTTACCTAATAATTGAAAAATAGTTAAATCTATATCTCGTAAGATCCGGATATCTTTAGAATTAATTACCTATATGGTGGAAATATGTATCATTGCCCGCAATTAAGGCTATTCAGAGTCGCGTAATCCTTATCGCCCATAGTGCTCATGTATTGTGAATATTGCACAGTGCTTTCTAATTTTTGGCGGATGGTTGAGAGCATACAAGTGGAAACTTTCTAACTTTGGTCGGATCAATCATATCTTTATCGGACTTTATATAACCAAACTCAGTTGATCTCGTAGTAAAAGACCTATATTGGTTAAAAATGAGCCTAATCACATTTTTCGAGTGTCGTCGGTAGCCTACCAAATGTGTGATTGTCGTATCATCTCCCCTGACTGCAGACCCTCGTTTCAAAACTTTTTTTATTCTATCGTTTTCTGTGGTGAAGTGCTTAGGGGGCATGAACAGCTACTGATTAGCATAACTACTTTGTGCTTCCCAGAATTTAAAGTTTGAAATTCTTCTTTGACAAACATTGGAGAAATAAATAAACCTTAGGAGTTACCATTTTTAAGAAGGCAAATCTTAATTCTCGCCTTCTCAAGGTTCTGTAAACTTCAGAGCCCATGGTCTGAACTCTTCTATTCGAAGCTAAGAAAAAGGACTTAGGCTTTGTAAGCTGTAAGTTAGACAATGTAATGGGAGGTCGAGAATGGCCTGAATTGATAAGCAACTCAGAGGAATAATTAACTGTGTTACAAACCGCAAGGTTACTGCAAATTTGCACGCCTCTATGTTTAATGATAGTTTTGTTTCTTTTATAGGTGGCTGATCGACTTCTTTCTGCAGTTTACCTGGATGCCGTTGATGACGTTCTCTACACAGTGTCTGCATGTCTTTCAGGCCGCCGTGGCGAAAAACCTGGACCCCAACCTGCGGGTAACGGCGACAGTAGTAGTAATAGTCAGGAGGCATGGGAAAATGTGGGACTGGGTGCCTTCATTGCACAATACCTCTTCGCTTTGGTTTGTCTCTGTGAGTTTGTTAATGCAGCCAAGTGTATCCTTCCGTTTAGTTTCCGTTTAAGAATTCCAAAATTCTTCTACTCCTGAAACCCCCCCCACACCCCCCTCCTTGTCATATCTGCCTATTGATTTGGCATGGTAGCGGTGCTGGAGATACTCTGATAAATCCTAGTGCAATATCAAACCTTCCTGCTTTTTTACTTACTCTTTTTTAATTGTTTTCATCCAGTTGTTTGTTGAACTCATAACTCTGCCTGTTTCTGGCGTTCACTTTTTTTGCCCCATCACTGACATCGTGCCTAGAGTATTTAGGCATTTGCAAGAAGTATTAAGAGCGTTTTTTTAACTTATGTATGCATTTGACAACTCTAAATTTCGCTTTGAAACAATCATTTCATATCATTGTAGCCCAACTTTGAGATCTACGCAGTGAAGTACTTTTTGACTTCGGTCATAAACATCTTATGATCTGATTATACACATTTTCAGCAAGTTTGTTCTTGAAATTTGTTTTTTTTCATGCCAATTTTACGCCAATCATAGCTTGTACATTAAATCTACTCCGATGTTCCCTGCAGCTTCTTTTTCACTTTAATTCCAAACAATTTTTCCCCAATTTTATCCCAACACCCTAAATACTTTTTTTAATTTTCTTTCACTCGTTGATCACTTTTCCGATTGTCATTCTTGTACCAACATTCATGCATATTTCCTGGGAAAATGAAAATAGTGCCAATTTAGTTAGTCAGAGAGCACCCACATTCATCTTACCACTCTCTTCTAAAGTCATATATCCATTCCTGTTGTCAGGCATAAATTATTATTGATGCTGTCGTAACTAGAGTCCAATCCAATTTTATCTTTTTCATTCAATTTTTTCTTTATTTCTCTTACCCAAAAGAATCGTAGTCATGGATTCAACACAGGTGTAATGTAGATTGAGCACATGGGAATTCGGGGCCTCAATCGGCGTTCTTTTCATTCATCTTGGTCTGTAAGCTTCACTAGTGTGGTCCTCCTTTGACAGTTTTATACCACCTCCTCCCGAGACCCTTTAATCATTTAAAGCATTTCTGCTATGATAAATTACTTGATATGTTTGAATTGCCTATTTATTTTCTGTTTGAGGCGATCACTTTTCATCCAGTATTAAATTTAGGACAGTGGGTCCCTGAAAATCGCCCTTGTAGTGGATTGCTACACTAGTAAAGCCTGACTGACTCAGAAATCTCTGTGGCAGATTCTCCTACATCTAGCTAGACTCCCAGAACTAGCTAAGCTATAGCCCAGCTATAAAGGAAACAGACGTATGGCACGGAGCACGTTTATTCAGTGAGTATAGTGCGGATAAAGTGTAAACGCAGGGATCTTAATCATGATCAGGATGGCGGGTTAGGTTAAACAAACAGAAGCTAATGATTGGGCATTGTTTGTACGGCCGCACTTCCCAATCCTGGCATGCGTTAAGAGATGCAGTGTCCCACACCCTTATGTCAAGAACTCTTTAACGCACCCCATCCGCAGTTTGTTTCTACAAATTCAGCCGCATTCTGCCACTTTTCTCATTTCTTTCGTTACTTTTGTACTGATATTTTAGTGGGCCTAAAATGGTCGTTTTCTATCGCCAAAATTTACTACTATTAACGAAATACTGCGGACTTTCCATTCATCGAAAATAGTCGGTTGGTGCAACATTTAAGGCCACGGCTAAATCAGCCTAATAAAGGGTACAGTAACATTCACATTTCACCACTGGGCTCATTGATGCTCTTACCTAACTCCTTGACAAGTATTGGCATGAGAGTTAAATAACCTCTCATTGTGTATCTCAGCGTGCTTATCTTTTATTCCACTCTCAGATTCGTTCGGAGATGTAGGGAATGCTCACTGAATTTAATCTCCCATTCCATATAAAATTGTATCTAAAGCGTTAGGGGACGTGTGGGAATTTTCTCAACTACCACTAATAGGCTTTAAAGAACCAGTGTTTAGAGGGTGAAACTGTTTTCCGACGCTTTAATACTTCTTAAAGAATATCAATTGGTTAGCGAGCTTGTCAATAAAATTAACCTTCTTATTGTAGTTAAGGATGGTATTATTTTTTTCTATAGCCCTACACTGTCTTCTACTTTTGGCTCAAGTGACGACTCTGAATGTAGCCTTCAACTCTCAGAATCGGTCTCTTCTCACCGTGATGATTTCGAACAACGTACGTCTGTCAAGCATATCAAAAGTCCATGCTTAAATCCATTGTGTTGTGTAATTTATGGTCTACGCTCATATGTAGCCACATAATCTTTCTTAACAAGACCTTGTTGATGTTTTTTCCTTTTGTAGTTTGTGGAATTGAAGGGTAACGTGTTCCGAAAAATGGGCAAATCTAACCTCTTTCAGATTGCCTGCGCTGATGTGCGAGAACGGTTTCACTACGCGGTCTGGCTCTTCATTATTGTCTGTCGCAACATGTCAGCCAGTGGGTGGCAATATGGTTAGTTTCTTACACTCTTTTTTTGTCTTCTCCTCCCTTCTCTTCTTGTGTGTGTTTTTCTTTTTCAAAGCGAAACCTTGACATGTGAGTTATACTCTATTCGCACTTAAACCACGTAAGCCAAGGTGGATAGTGCTGTACTTTAATTGCATAATCCGAACTTTTATACTCTTCTTTTATGCAAATTTAGTTGATTAAATTAGATAATATTTATTTATTTCAAATGGCGGGCGTTTTGATAGTTATCATTAGCCCTTTAGCTGACTTCGGGCTTCACAGAGGGAAGGAACGTCAAAGTAACAGAAAGTCGATGGGTGGGGAACAGAAGAGTGGTTTACAGTTGTAAAAGAGACAGACACAGAGGCAGAGAAAAGGTGAGGTGAGTACTGTGGAAGTGGTAGAATATGGCATACAGTGGGGTGATGGTAGCTTGAAGTGAGAAGTCAACTGCCGGTTTATAGACATTATTGCCGTATGAGTATACGTTGCAAAGGGTGTACCACGTGGAGGTAAGTCTATCGCACGCCCCAATTTAGATAAAATAGGAGTTGGTCAATGTATAGTCTGTTTAAACAAATGGCATCAACAGCACAAAACGATTTTTCTCATTGAAATAGGTGTTCCTTTTAATTATACAATGATTCCCACTCCCACATTGCTCCCCATTTTTTTGTTGTGAGGAAAAAATCCACACTGCAATCGCTTTAATGTGGGAAATTTTATTTATTTACTCTTCCGCTTCTCATCATTGCCCATCTTCGGTGATAGTGCCCAGGTATATCTCGTGGATTTCTTTTCAATGACATTTAACCCTTTAACGCTCTTCAGGGCCGTACGGTCCTCTTTCAAAATGAACTCCATTGGTACTAGACTTATAACAGAAGGCACTATTGAAACATTTTCAATACGTCTATAGACTTCGCCTGATGCTGAGCGGGGTCTGCAAGCAAGGTTGCACCTTCCAGAATGTTCTGACACAAGTGAGATGCTTGCGATCAGTCCCTGAAGCATCGTGTGCTTAACAAATTTCAATTCCCTAATAAAGGTGAAAGGCGGTCACTTGTAGTGCTCATTTTCAATAGTTATTGATTAGTCCTTCGTAGATTCTTCTCAAACCTGCCATTTTTCCTTCATTGCGAACTTTACTATGCTCTAATCAAGCATCACCACTCCTCTTCGACGTATTTTGCCCAACGACATCTTCCGATGTTTGACTGACTATTCAATAGAATGTGAAGTGCTGCGGATTGTAAAGACTGATGGCTTAGTGTCATAATTCGTTGAAAGTGGTTCTATTTCATACTTCAGTTAGTTGAACAAGCTTTGAAATCTATCAATATTGAAGATAATTACAGGGAGCAGATGGCAAAGACGCTTTTGATTGCAAATAAAACTCTTATGGAAATTTTGTTTGCAATGCAGGCAAACTTCCTCATAGGCCCTTTAACATTTCAACGCAGTTAAGACTCTGAGGTCCTCTTCCAAAATCAGCTCCATTGGTTCTAGACTTGCAGCAGAAGGTGCTATTGCCGTTTGAGACATGTTCAATACGTCTATAGTCTTCGTCTGATATTACGAAAACTCATCACGTCGGAGTCAGATGAGACAGGCGTGAGTGCGGTTGGGTGCATTTTTTTCAAAAATTAGCTTGGGCGGGAGTGGTGTAATGTTAACATTTTACCATTTAAACATTAATGATATGTGGATGTATTGATTTTTTTGGACATAAATGAGTTCACCTTCAATTAATTTATAATATATTGCTATGAATAAAGGTAGTCTTTTCTAAATTTTTCGGTAATTTTGCTTTATTCGTTGTCAGGACTAGTAAATACCTAGCGCGCTCCTATGCACTTTGAAAGCGTCTCAATCCCTTAATTTGCTCGCGTACTTTTGGCAATTTTTTTGGAGCGAAAAACTAACTCGGGTTCTTCCCCCCCCCCCTGTTTAGATGATTTTCTGGCCCTCCTGCCGGACATTCTGCTTATTCTCCTCTCCGAATTCGCGGTGGATTGGGTTAAGCATGCTTTCATCTCCAAGTTCAATGTCATTCCTTCCGATGTAAGTACCCACTCATATCACATTATTGTCATCCAATGTATTGCAAAATGTCGCTGTGTGGGTGGTAATAATTTACTATATTTTTGAAATATATATACGTATCTTTGCGTTTAATGTTTAATATTCGAAATGCGTGGATTTATAAACGCATGATTAAATATGTAAAATAAGCCCTTCGCTTTCATATATATATAGGGGGGAATTTAAACTTTATTAGTATTGTTGTTATTATTATTATATCAAATGGCAGGCGTTTTGATTGTTATCATTAGCCCTTTAGTTGACTTCAGGCTTCACAGAGGGGAAGGAACATCAAAGTGGAAAAAAAGTCAAGAGGGGGGGGGGACAGAAGGGTGTATCAAAGACGAAGGTAGATAAGGTGGAAAAAGGTGGGATGAGTACTGTGAAAGTCGAATATGACAGTGGGGTGATGGCATTTTGAAGTCAGAAGTCAACAGCCGATTAATAGACTTTTTTGCGGTATGAGTATACGTTGCCCACGTGGAGGTAAGTCTATCGCACACCCAAATTTAATCCTAGCGTGTCACATTTTGGGGGGATTTTCTAAGCTTACAGCAAATTCAACAGGAATGAAAAGCATGCAATACTTGTTAAGCCGTATTTTAATGTTTGGTTTAATTAAGCTTAACTCGATTTTCTGTTTCTTGTTCACGCAGAGTTTATGCGCATGAATTCCACAATACGATGTGTAAATCGTTTCCCTATACGGACATCTATCCCTCTTAGTCCTTTAAACAATGAAATGCCTCTACTTGTCCAATTAATCCTCGTAATGGTGGTGAAATCATTTTGTGCAGGAGAGGCTTCATGTTCTGTGTCCCCCCCCCCCCCAAGCTGGAGGTTTTTTTTGCTTTAGTAACTTCCTTTTTCACCATTGTGTTTTTTTCTTAATTTGGCCTGAGGACAGGTCACATAATTGAGGCCACTTAAGTGTTTCCCTAATGTAGCAGCGGAATGGTTGCGCATGCGCGTGTTGGGTGTAGGCGCGTATTGTGTTGTGGCTTAACGGAGGGGAAAGTAGGTTGATACTTAAGGGTGATTTCATTGTATTTACCTCAGCTTTCGCTTAGTCGTGGACAGTGATTGTAATTCAATGGGTATTATTCTCGTTGAAGATAATGGAGCAGCATGTTTGGTTACCCTAGGCAGAAATTATTGAATTCACCGGATGATTTTCGTGCCTCGGATACAAGATTACCTTCAATTACTGTTATTCCGTGCTACCTCGCGGTATTTTGGTAATTTATGTAGTTCTGGTTAATCAGTCAGCTAATTAGCCTCATTTACCCTTTTCATGCAAATAGTTCTGCTTTTTTACTTTAGCAAGATAAGTCTCTATTGAATTATAGGTATTCTCTCTTCTGAATCTGAGCTATCGAAATCTTAGGTAGGTTTATCGGTAGTCCCGTACCTCCGAATTTAGATTTTTGAGTAATTCAATATTGTTGGTTCGTAGTCACTAAAGCCCTCCTCCATTTACCATACTTTCACTTCCACTTTGCGTATATACTTCAACAGGATTATTCATTCAAATCTATTGCATATTTGAGGTCTATGAGGAGTACACAGTGAGTATCGCCTACGATCTCCTTCTGTGTCGCCAGGGCAAAGTGAGTCGATACTTTCCCACTCTGTTTTGTAAGTATTTTTTTATCAACTAACGGCATGAAGTGTATTTTCTTTTTTTTCTAGAACACTTCTGACTACTTTGAACTACTCGCTCGACGCATGGGACTCACACCAATATCTCTCAGTTGTCTTATCAATGTCATGATGATCCAAACTGTCAAGTCCTCGTGGATTTATGTCTTTCTACTACTTGCTCTTCCGCTGTAAGTTTTCAACTGCTTACTTAGCGCAAGACCATTTCTGAGGAGGCATCAATTTAGGACAGGGAGAACTTGATAATCTATTGAACTCCTCTTCATGGTCTTCATTGCCACAGAATGAGGTGGAAACAGGGGACAGAAAGGGTTCAAAACCTTGTAACCAGTACACGTATAAGTGGTCTGGTTGTTGGGATCGGAGGAATATCGATAGTTGGATCAGAGACAAGTGGATGATTCATGCACTGAACGAATTGGAAGAGGTTGAAAACTGAATTTAGTCGGTAGGTAGCTGTAGATGAGCCCTGGGTAGTAGTCGGTACGCATGACAGAAATCGAAAAATTATTTTTCATCAGTTGTATACTGATCAACTTGAATTAAATGAATTAAGTATTCTGTATGTGTGACTGAGAAGTTAACTCAAATCAATAGCATACCTTGCTGAAATGTATATGAGTTTTTTTCACTTTCCAGGCTCTTTGCACTAAAAGTGCTTGTTCACATTGTCCTATTGAACCGTGCCTATGCCCACGTCCACTCTTATACCCAAATGATGACTGCAAAAATGGCCAAAGAGGCAGCCGCGAACTCAGTAACAAATTCAGTCACCGATTCATTCACAATTTCCCAAAAATCAACCACCAACTCGTCCGCTGCCACCACTGTCAAACCTGCCTCGTCGGGAGATGAGGAGAAGCCCAAACGCAAGACGAGCATCTTCTATCCACCCTACACTGGCTACGACCAGCCAACTAGAGATGAAGGCCAACTGGCTATGCCTCAGCTTCAGCCACGGAGGTCCTATAGCGATACTTCGTTTGTCGCTGCTGCAGTTTTAGCTAAATTGGATAGCGAAGAGGAAGAGGGGGGAGAGGATGGAGAGGAGGAATTTTGCTCACTTACTAGCTGCTCTACAGATACCTCATCTCAACAAAGAAGCATTCTGAAGTCCCCACCCCACTCAGAGACTGAAGCCAGATTCAGGCAATTTTTGCTGGATGCCGACGATATGCAAATTAGTCATAGGAAGACTGTCAGTGAGTTATACTTCACGAACCTCTGCTTTGATAGGCAAGCACCTCCACTTTTGGTCTTTTGTAGCATTTGCTGATGAAAACTCCACTCCAAGAGCCTCAAGCTCAAGTTTGTTTTGTTGTTCTTACCCGATTTTGCGCGCTCAATTTAATCGCTTACTTTCCTGCTTCTATCTCATATTCATGAACCTCTTTGTTAAATGCCAAGTTTATTTTGCATTTCAGATCTCCCGTCTTTATCGACTCCGCCATCCGGAATTGAGGATTTCGATTTACCTCTATCGCCCATTAGTGTTTGTTCCCTTGGATTCTTCTCTCCTCCATTAAATTCTGAACCACTGGTTAGTTCATCAAGGATAAATTCACCATCCAAGATACGAGCAACTACTCCAATATCCGTCCCTAGAAGGAAATGCTGCAGTCTGAACGATCTCTCCTTGCTCAAATTGGATAGACTGAATGATGGTCTTTCTTCAACCCCAGTCCCAGATGAGTCTGCTGGAAAGCACGTTCGATTCATCAATACAGAAAAACCAGTATCTAGACGTCGACGCACGCATACAGAGAATGAAATTACCAGCTTGCTTATTCTGGAGCAATTGAGTTCAGCATTGAATGATGAGACAGCGCACTTGGTAGATGCTGTAGATGTTGATCTTTTGTCTGATGAAGAGATTGCTGCTGGAGCTGAAGCAAGTTTTGGAATTCAGGAAAAACTAGGCGGGACAGAGGATGGAGATAAAACCAACAAAACATCTCAAGTGAATGCGGAGCCTTCAAATGGTAATGCGAATTCCTCGGCAGATGCGTCAACGGCATCAGTGAAGCAGCCTTTGTCGAACGTGGATAGATACTCTATGTTGGGCGGACAGATTAGTTGATCTGCATCTATTTTCTGCCTTTTCGATCTTTATTAATAAATCTATTTTCCTCTGTCTAAAAATTTTTATTATGAATGTTCATTCGATATTCGTGGGCTTAAAATGTCATCTTTTGTCAAATCAGGTTAATTATTCCGCTTAATTTGACTGCACCCAGCATTAAATTACATTTAAATTTACGATTTAAATATATAATAAATGCTTTTATTTATTATGGAACAATTCTGTCGTTAGCTCACTAACATCCATGGCAATTTTACTAGCAGTAAATAATTTCGAGGCTTGAGGAATGGCTTTTCACTGGACCTGTTGGTACCTTTTGAGACACTCTCGGACATAACCACAGAAAACTCACTAGCCCTTAGGGTGGGTTTCGGTGATGATGGCTGTGAGCTATAGCGCGTACGGGGAGCGAAATAGTCCCTAACGAGTGTGAAGTATAGGGATAAATGAAACCGATGAGTTGACGCCTGTGAGTTTAGTAGGACCAGATCAAAAATACGTTAATCATCAGCGTAGGAAAGGTATGGGAGGCGTGTTTGATAGACATCTAATTAGCAAAGAGGCATAGTCATTATAATCAACGGCATTTTCCAATCACAGAGACTTTTGAATTGTTTCCAGGAATGAAATTGTGTTTTCACGTAAGCAGCTAAAGCCTAACGACATTTTCCAAAAGAAATATAATCATGATATATGAAAGGCACAAAATGATAGTCAGAACTAAGGAAAAACAAATATACATTATATAAATACGAGGAGAAATAGTCAAAATTTAAGTTTCATGAAGAAATTATAAGGGAACAGACACCTCCTTTGTGATAATTCCATGTTTTAGCATGGAAAAGTATAAGTAAAGCTTATTTCAGACATTTAAGTCAAAGACAAAGAAAATATCTGAAGAACACCGCGTGGAGTACACAATACTAGCACGTACGAATTGAGAAATCTCATGCGCGCTCAAACATACTAGAGCCTGCTGACGTACAATTGATTGTGCTAATGAGCGAATGTGGTTACAAGTGAAGACCTCAAGTGTGATCAAAATCCAATGGGCATTTTAGAGACGGGGTACTCATAACCTAAATTAATGGCTAAGTTCTATGCCAATGACGCTAATGCAGCAGTCACCGCAATCATACGTTCTATGTCCTTGATATTGTTGAGGCAATCTAGATAATTCCCGAAACAATTTCATAATAAGGGAATTTGTCGCAGAAGTTGCTAAATTATGCAGCACTCAGCTTCTAGTTACAATCGCAGACAAAAGTTGCTTGGACGTTGTCACTACACTATTCAGTGTTGAGTTTATGGAAGTTTTATATCGCTTTGTTTGCCATTAAAGTTACGTAAAAATTTTCATAAAAGTCCTATTAGTTGATTTTCAGTCAAGATCAATGTAGTGTGACGTAGTTACCAATATTAAAAGCACGCATGAGAATTGTTTTGCTGCTAATTAAGACCCATTTTACCAAAACGTATTTTGCGAAATCTAACATTTCTAAGTTCATATCATAATGTCGTATTGAATTAGTAAACTGATAATATGAAGGTGGTGGAAAGTAGGAAAAGCACGGGCGTTGAATTTTACTTATTTGCGGAATGAAATTTGTTAATAGCTCAACAAAGAAAGATGTAATATCTAAAGCAGTATAAATGTAGCCTATTCTTTAATCATTTATTTGGACCAGATGTAAAATGAGAATTAATTTATTGACAACATAATATTTTATCATATCATGCATGCACAACCTCGTATTTACTAGCTATTAATAAATTTAATAACTTAAAACAATTTTAATAAAAACATAAATTAGTTTTGTTTGCATTAGAAGTTTTAACGATTATGAGCAATATTAGTGAGCTAAGAAAAAGCTATTGTGTGAGATGTCTATCTGAGTATGCTGGGCCGCCCTCGTGTATATCGTCCGAGTGTATTCAGTAGAGTCCGTGATTATAGTTTTAAAACACTTGCTCTTGCTTCATTTCTTGGTGGCGCTGCTGTAACTAGTTACATAATAATTAAACTAGGAAAATATTATATTTACGATCGAAAAACATATAAACTTCAAAGGAAACAATACGCCGAAGCTCTTTTGAAAAAAGAAAAGGTCGAAAAAGAACTTGGCCTTCGAGATTGAATAAATTTATGTCATTTCGGCTCCAAAACCTTCTTACTGTCGCTTCCCAAAATCTTAAACAATTTAGATACATTTTACCATTCATGAAACGTCCTCACGAACTTGATACTGAAAACTCCCCTGAAGAAAAGATTAGCAAGACTGATTTTATTCTTGATGGTACTCGTGGTTTCCGAAAATGTGCGATGCTTATTGTCTACTCTGGAACTGGATACTATGGAATGCAAAAGTGCATTATTTTATCTTTTCTGCAGCAGAGGATTTATTTCAGCTCGGTTTAAATATTATATTTTTTGTAGAAACGAGGGATTTAAAACAATTGAGGGTGAGTTGCTATCCGCTCTTTACAACGCCGGCTATATCACCGAGGAGCATGTTAAGAATCAACAGCTTGTAAGTTGGAAGTGCTCTTTCTTTTATAGTTGTCCGTTTCTAGATTAATTTCTCTCGTGCTTCTAAAACTGACAAGAATGTATCAGCCACAGGCCAAGTGTGTTCTTTAAAGCTCCCAATTTCTAACCTCTCCGTTCATAAAATCAATTCGCTCTTACCAGATCAGATCAGAGTTCTTGGTAAGGAGCCGACAGTCATCATTAATTTTATTTTCATCTAGATGTATTTCGCGTTACCAAGGGGTTCAACCCAAAAACTGCGTGTAATCATCGAGTTTACCAGTACCTCATTCCAACTTTCGCCTTTGCCCCTCGCGATAGTCTTCTATTAAACGACTGTTGGAATTATCGATTGCCTTCTGAGAGGCTTACCCGTGTTAATGAACTCTTACTTCGATATAAAGGCACTCATAATTTCTTCAACTTCACATCTAGAAGGCAAATATCTTATTTACTTTCAACTTTTGTATTAATTACTTTGGAGTCTACGTTTGTTTAACCCATCTTCATTTTCCTAATTAGAGCTCCAAATGACAAGAGTTGCGTTCGATACATTATGTCAATGGAATGCGGATCTCCATTTTTACTTGATGGTGATCGTGAATTTGCTATTATTTCCGTGCAGGGTCAGTCTTTTATGCTTCACCAAATTCGGAAGATGATCGGCTTGGTTATTGGCATTGTCAAGGGTTACACGACGGAAGATGTATTTGAGAAGGTTTTCGAAACTGAACGCGTGAGTGTTTTCGTCAATACCTTCAACTTCATTATATCGGTTTTATTAATCTATCTAGAGTGAATATTTTGTTTCTAGATGGATATTCCAAGAGCCCCGGGTTTGGGTTTGCTTCTCGATCAGGTTTGTTTCACCCGTTACAATAGCCGTTTCTGTGCTGACGACAGTCATAAGTCGATTGATTGGGAGAGGTATAAGGTAAGTGTCACAGATTCTTTGTGGGGTTTTTTATTTATAGCGGCATTCTGAGGTTACGGTTATTGGTGAATCGTTAATTTTATGATTTTAGCATCAAATTGAAAAATTCAAAGAAGAATATATCTTCAAACACATGGTCAAATGCGAAGTGGAAGAAAATTCGTATCCTTTTTGGAATATTTATTTAAGTTCGATTCCTGTTGCTTTTTGATCTATTTTATTCGTTCGTTTTATTACCCTCGTACTAAAGATTCTAACTAATTTCTATATCGAATTTGGGGAGTATTTTGGTACTTATTTCGAAAGTCGATAAATGCCGCTTTTCAATAATTTTGAATTGCCATTTTCTTCACTGATATCATTTAATGAGCATCGACACCATTGCTTCCAATATTTCTCTCATGCAGTATACTCTCCATTCTACCCAGTATTGCATTATTTCTTGAATTTAGTTTCCGTGCTTCGTGTACCCATTTCTCTTGATAGGTCACACATCTTATTGACATCAAACGGCAATACATATTGAAGGTAATAGGGTCGACATTGAATGTTTAGTTTTTGGAACTTTTAATTGCACTTCGTAAGTATCTCATCCATCTGTGATTCAGACTAACGTCTGCGTAGGGTGAGTATTAGTGAATGCTTTTCTGTTTACGAGATATTATTAGCCGCCTACAGATAATTTTAATTCAGATGGATTAGACTGGGTCCTTCCCATCTGGTTGCTTATGTTCATCCTTCTGACTATCGTCAATGGTACTTGGTATCAGAGTGAATAATTGTGCTTTTTACATCAACGTGTTTATCCTTAACTCAAGTACCCTGACGTAGAATGTTCGAATGGATGTCAAACCTGAACCTTCACACATTCGATAAGCGCGATTCCGGTTCTCTACAAAGCAGTGCCTCAAGTTCTCCCTCAGCAAGTCCCAATCCAGCTATTAATTATACTGATGGTGATGAAATTTTTACTAACCCTTAGAAATTACCGAAATTTGATCACCCTCTGTGTGTACTCCGGTTTTGACATTTATTTTCTTAGAATATACGTTCTCTAAAAATAAGTATTTTTATTTTATTGAAAGAATTGTTTGGTGAAATCAAATTTATTAATTAACTTTCAACTTCTTATTGAGCTTAAACGGGTTGTCCGCATTGAGCACAGAATTTCGCTCCTGGGGATAGAATTTTTCCGCATTTTGTACAGGCTGTGGATAACTTATGTGCGATATCGCTATTCATCTTGATTGCAGGTGGGGTGCGTTGGCGGGTTTTAGAATCAGCTCCTTTAGAAGGCATCTTTAGTGGAGTTGCTTTACAGTTTTCTTGGTGGCGTTCTATTCGATCTGGTGCAAATGTCCGACCACAAATTCTGCAAGGAACAAATCCTGCATTATGATCTCGAAATGAGGAAGTGGACTGTACAGATTTCCCATGCAGTGGTGTGTGGAGTAGTTCCAAATCGACATCAGGTTTACGAGCCTCGTAGTCATGAAATCGAGACGGTCTAGGGGGTGGTTTGCAATGGGCCTGGTGCATAGGTAATTTGCTGGTTTCAAAATGGCGGCCACATTTAGGGCACGGCAGAGTGGAAGTTTTCAATGCTGCGGCGTTATATGCATCATAGTCGATTTCCTGACCTGAGGTTCCAGTTGGTTGTTGAAAACCAGACGATTCAGATGGGAAAACTTGGGGTCTAACTGGTTCCGGTTGGCGTTTTGATGGTGGGAGCTTATCATTATTTTCATGCCATTTCTTAAGACATGTTTTCTCGTGAATGCCAATTGAAGCTGTGCCATATTCTCTGTGACAAATGTAACATATGACGGTTGGTGGTCGTGGCATCTTAATATCTTTTAAATCTAAAAGGAGTGCATTATGAGTTAACCATGCCCAATAATCTTAATAATGAAGATGAAAGTTTTACATCAAACCATTATTGAAATTTAATAGTTGCTATTTAGTATTATAAAATTGATAGACGTCATGTAAGTATTTGGTTTTAGTGAAAACAAATATAATGACATGAGTAAATAGCTTAAATGTATAAAGTACACTTTTTGAATTGCCTCTGATTCAATAACGTTATGTCAAAGCACTCAGGCAAGAGACTAAAACACGCTTACATTAATTCTCTGTCACAAAAATAAAACTATTAATGTCTTTAACTACTAAAGCTAATAATTATAAGCGATAAAAGTAAAATATTCACTCTTTTCTCTTGATAAATCATTGACTTATTTGATAATAATTATTTTCTTTTAAGGTGCTAAGACTCATATATCGTTCAAAATATCAGCGCTGTCAATCTTAAATAAAATAAACTCTAGCATTCTTTCGAAAATCTTTCAAATATATTAATAATAGCACCATTCCTCTCACTTGTTCATGTAGGCAAACCTGACAATACAAAGCATACTAGCTCAGACAGCTTTGCTCACTTTATATAATACAAACACACGAAATACATTCAGCAGGAAAGAAGAATCCAAACAAGCGTAATCGTGCGGCCACAAGGTAATGGGGGAGAAGAGGCAAGCCGGAATAAAAAAGGGAGCCCATAAGCTCTTAACCACAACAAAATTGACTAGGTATTAACATCAGGGGAGGTGGGGGAGGCAATTATTTCACCCGCCAGTCCAGAACAGTGAGAATGATATAAATGGCTATAAATACATAAGGAAGGAAGTCACGTCACAGCACATTTCTTCTGCACTATTCCTTCGGCTCTTTAGTCTTATCTTCCGGTTCCGAAGTGGAAGATTCCTTCTCTTCCACAGCCTCTTCTCGCTTCATATCTTCTTGATCGAGCATTTCAAGCGCGTTAGCCATTGAACTCATCTGTATACCGTCCTTCTCGCCTTCTAATATCTCAAGCAGCTAAAAAAACAAAAAATGAGATCAAGGGGAAGCCATTTCAAGGCGATGGATAAAAGATATTTTCCTCACCCCTAAAATATGTTTGAGTTCAATCTGCCCATCCTTATCCTCATCCAAGGCTACCAAGATTTTATACCACCGATCACGAGCCTTTGGATCGATATTCGGATCTTGTTGAAGCTTCTCCAGCGCAGCCATAACAGACCCTACTCCAACCATTCTCTGCTGATCAATTCTTAACTCCTCCATTCGAGCCAATTTCTCCTCTTCACTCAAGGTCTGAATTTCAGATTCAAGTTTCTGCTGTACATCGTGTTTATGTGACTGAAGTTGATTCATCAAGCCAGCAATATCACTCAGCAAACGATCAACTTGTTGGTTGAGACGCTTCACAGCCTTCTGAGCCTTTGCAGCTTGTTTAGCCGCCTCCTTCTTATCTTCTGATTTTTCCGGAGTTTCAGGAACTTTATGCTCTTCTTCCACCTTCTTTTTAGCAGCAATCGCCTCTAGCTCTACCTCCGAAGGTTCGGTAGATACCTCCTCCTTCAGAGTCTTGGGCTCCTTCTTGATTTCCTCAACTTCAACCTTCGAAGTAGTTGGCTGAATAGGTTCAACAGGAGGCACAATTGGGATGGCCCTTTCTGCCTTCTCCGAGGCGGAAACATCCTTCTTCTTTTCAGATATAACCTCTACAATCTTCGGCTCCTCCCTAGCAACCTCTTTCACTTCCTTGACGGAGTCAGTTGCAGGTTCGTCTGAGGCTTTAGCCTGCATTTCAACCTCCTTTGGAGAAAGCTTGACTGCTTCGTCCAGATCAGCCTAAAAGAGGAAAGTCATTTTTCAAAATGTAAATATGTCAAATCAATGTTACTCAATTTAACCAAATTTATTTCTGCATCAAAAGCGTAAACAGCGCACAATACATCAACCTACTACTACAAATTTGAATTCTTCTGTCTTAGGATGCGGCAAGTTCGCATTCGGGGAAACTAAGGTTCGGTTAATAGCCATAACAAGCAGATCATATCAAATGACGATGCACAGGAGTTTCAGGGTTAGGGAATTCTAAATCTCTTAATAATAAGAAAATATGTTGGCGCAAATGAATTTCTCAACATCGACAAAGGACCATGAAGATGCTAGAATGGCTTCGTCGCGATCAAAATCTAAACAAAACACTTGCAGAATAGTATGTTGAAAAGAATAACATTTAAGAAATGAGTAAGAGAGACCTTCCACAAGCGACTACAATTACCATGCTGCTTCGTAAATTCAGCAGAAGCTACCACAACCCAGTTGACGCAGCTGTAGCTGATGGTTCATATTAACTTAAGGAAAAGGAAATAGACGAGGTCAAGCGTATTCGGATAGTCGATCAACTATTGACCAAAGAGACTTGACACCCAGCACCAAAGACGATGATTTTGGGAAGAATGACAACAAAATATTCCAGTTAAAGGAACAATCGAGGTCAGAAACTTACCTTGAGATCAAGAAGGTGTTCTTCTTCCAGAGCATCCTTAGCCACATCTATATTCAAAATGGCCTCCCTGATGTTGCCAATGTCCTTCGCGGTGACCAAAAAGTCGTCATCCTTAGGTGGCTCCGCTGTTGTGACCGCAATCGCGGGCTTCTCAGCAGTGAGTTCCATGTCAGCAGTCATTGTCTCTGGTGCCACTGGTATTTCCGCAGTAGCGATCTTCTCTTCGGCAACCTTCACAGATTCTGTGACAGTTGAGGGGACAACAGAGGGTTGTGAAGGCGGCTCAGCAGTGACATCGGACACTGGAGTCGGAGTTTCAACTAGCTTACTAGACTCAATAATGGGCTTTACAGGCTCCTAATATACAAGGAAAGACCTCCGGATAAATAGATGATAACGTGTGTTCCCTCAAATAAATTCATCACTCTATTCCACAATTATTATTTCATCAAGTTTGCTCAATCATAAGGTAGGTATTAGTCAGCTACCCCTCTCTTCCATTGGATCAGTTGTAATTAAATGCACTGAATCATTGTGGACTTAAATTTTTTAACATCTACATTACTCCCTGGAAGCATTGAGTAAGCTGCAATTAACACAGTTTGTGGCAACAGTTTTGGAAGTACCCAGCGGTTTGGGCCTAACCCATAAATCTGCTAATCTTAATTATTACATACAGATTCACAAGGAGAACAAAGCCAGGCATTCCTTCTCAGCGTAACCTATTTCACTATTTTCGGTCAAACTAGTCAAACGCTTATACCCCC